TATGTACGTACTATATCGTCGCGTGGACGCGTCAAATATTATTTTATCAAAACTTATTCTGTATTGTGATCGACCGAAACATTCGTGGTTGCGTCTGTACGTTTCGTAGTTACGTGGGCGTCTAAAGGCACAACCCAGTTCTGTTTGTTGCTGAATTAAAATAAAACGCACACCCGTACGAGATATGGCTTTGTCCTTTTGTTAGTGTTTCCTTTAAATATAGCTCGTTTCTCGCTACGAGACAACAGATATTGCACCCACGCTGCCAAACTCGATGGCGTAATATTAAAAGGAATACCGAGACCAAAAATAGTAATGGCGAACCCACGTTTCATTTTACGTCAACTCTGAGTCGCCTTATGGGAAGCTGGTCTTATTCATCTAGATTGCTTAGGGTCTCTTAATAAAATATAATAAAAGCGAGGTTCACGAACCCAGAATTGCCGAGAGATTTTGCCAGAATCTGCAGTTTTTGCATTAAATTACTAAGAATTCTTACGCTACTTTGTCGGTGCGAAAATTAACATTAAAAAATTTAAACAACCCAAGCCGTTTTGACGGCAATAAACAAAACATACACAGGTTTTATGTCTCCCCGTGTAAATAATTGTTCTTCTTAAGCGTTTCTGACGGATTGCTCTGGACCCGTCTTATTAGTGTAACTGTAAATATGGTCGAGTGGTGAAATTTTTTTCCCTGAAAAAATATTCGCAAATGAGACACGGTTACCGGCGTTTCGCTTATAGCATGAGGCTTTGGAAGACCGCTCTTATTATCAGATTCTTCCCAGTGACAGTGAGAACATTAAGAACGCGCAACACTCAAATAATACCGTAGATTAATTAAAAAAAATGTTTGGTTGAAGAAAAAAAAATGGCTGCTTGATAAATCGAAGCGCTATCAAACTCACGGTAGTGTTGTTTCTTCAGCACCTTTTTTCCATTCGTTTCGCACAAAAGAGCTCGGGTAGCCGAACTTTCAAGGCCTAGTTTGTTTCGCTTCAGGAGATTGTAATTTGTTTCCCTCTTAGGCACTCCATTCGGTTCGTCAACTGTTTTGTTTGTGTACGAGAATTGATCCGTGAGCAAGAGATCGCTGCGATATGTCAGCTAAAATTGACAGTCTTTTTTTTTGTTGCTTAGATGGGTGGACGAGTTCACAGCCTACCTGGTCTTAAGTAGTTACTGGAGCCCATAGACATCTACAACGTTATTGCGCCACTCACCTTGAGATATAAGTTCTAAGGTCTCAGTATAGTTACCATGGCTGTCCCACCCTTCCAACCGAAATGCATTACTGCTTCACGGCAGGGTGATGGTACCTACCCGTGCGGACTCACAAGAGGTCCTACCACCAGTCTGTTTGTTTATTAACCGTCCGCGCGACCACGAAAATTGTGAAGTATTCAAAATGAGAATAATATCATTAGAATAATAAACGCGAAATTACACCGTAAAAACACTTGTAAATTGTTACTACGGCTCTTGCAATTCGAAGAATGTGATAAATATGTATTATATTATATCCAAAACTTAAATCGTGATTCACATTGCTGAAAAAAAAATGTGTTGCAATAAAGTTCATGCGTTGTGAAGATTTGCGAGTACAAACGTGAGCCAAACATTTTAGTATATAATATTTACTTGTATCTGCATATACATATAATATATTATTTAGATAGTACCTACTAGCCTACAAGTTTTGCATCGAGCTCATTTGAATATTTTTATATTCCTAGTCTAGACGTTTTCCAAGATTTTTGCGAGCTTCAATAAAGATGTGGATATCATTTTTTATGTGTTTTAGGTCAGAGAGCTTTTTTGTGCGTTTCGCCGTCGATGATTAAGTGAGCTTTTGCCATACGATTGTTTCGATTGCGTTTTATTGTTGTCTATCAAGTTGTTTTTTTTTCTCTGTGATTAACAATCATCTAAATATTATTATATATTCAAACGCAACAGTGTGCGGTGTCGAAATTGGGAGTTTCAATTTGTCAAATAGTTTTTGCATCATCATCATTTGTATTGTATATTAGTCGTAATACTTATATGCTTTGTAATTATTGTGAAGTGTATGTAATCACTGCTGTAGGATCAGTTTTGTCGAATGTAATGCGCGTTCGCGTTACTTAGTTTTTTTTGTTGTTGTTGCTAGATGAGTGTACGCGCTCACAGCCGACCCGGTGTTAAGTGGTTACTGGAGCCCATAGACATCCACAACGTAAATGCGCCACCCACCTTTAGATATACAAGTTGTAAGGTCTCAAGTATAGTTACAACGGCTGCCCCACCCTTCAAACCGAAACGCATTACTGCTTCACGGCAGAAATAGGCAGGGTGGTGGTACCCACCCGCGCGGACTCACAAGAGATCCTACCGCCAGTAAGGATAAGGTTAAATTTCTGATATTGCGTTGGTTTAACAAACAGCGGACATTTCAACTCGGAGATGCATAGCGACTCTTTCTTCTATCTATATATTAATACGTGAAGCAAAAACTTTGTATCCCTTTTTACGAAAATTACGTGGACGGAGGAGTATGAAATTTTCTACACTTATAGAGAATATAGAGAAGAAGTGCACAATGTTAATATTTTTTTTAAATAATGCATAAAAGATACATTAAATCAAAAAAGAAAACGTTACACACACTACATACCATGTATTTGACGCACACACACACGCATGCATACTGTTTATTGTCAAACTTTTGTTCTTGACGTCTGTTGTCAAATTGAGAATAGATTAAATATTGTATGTCTTTGTTAATATTTTTTATAGTGTAGTCTTGGCGAAATTTGTGATTATAGAAGTATAAAATACAATCATAATAGTGTACAAACTTACAATTCCAATTAATTATAGTCGAATTTCGACTACTGCGGGACCTCTAGTAAGTTAATAAAATGTTTTTTTTTAATGACGTCGACTGGTTTTGTTGTTTCAATAGTTTCAAAGTTATTTATTTTTTATTTTATAGAATTGTTAAATACAGTTACGATCGGAATTCAATAATAATAATACAGGAAAGCGCGTCCGTCTGGAGTGCAAAAGGCTTGTTCGTAGTAGATTCCTAAATCAAACAGGTCTCTGAATCTATAAGTGCTCATTTAATTGCAAGTGCGCGACCATATGCAAATTAATTTTTTTTTTCGTTTCGTTCGCGCTGAGGGGCAAAGACATTTAGATTTTCATGACCTTTTTTTTGTCGATTGTGTTGATAGCGTGTTTTTATTTTCGTATCGAGAGAACGCGAGGGAAATAGCGCAGAGAAATGGGAAGAAATGATAATAATGGTCGAAGCGCTCGTGTACTCCGGAGGGAGTTTATTCTATTTTTGTGTCGAACGTTGCACTAAAGGTTAACGTATCTTGTAGTTGGGACGACACGAGATACAAAAGCAAAGAAAACTGTAGATCGGATTCGTTTGTACGAGACGTTTTTTTTTTTTTTTTTTTTTTATCGAGTTCAGGGTACTCTCTCTATCAGAGTTCAACTGAATTTTCTATACATATAAATAAAATTGGAGTGTCTGTTTGTAATATTGAAATAACCGCTTTTTACTACATGCATATGAATATATATACGGTACATACACCAAAATAACATTTTTTACAATTTTTGTCTGTCTGTTTGTCTGTTTGTTCCGGCTAATCTCTGGAATGGCTGGACCGATTTTGGCGAGACTCACTGATAGGCAGCTGATGATATAAGGAATAACTTAGGCAAATTTTTTTAGACTAGCTTCGCCCCACGGCCTCACCCGCGTTACGATAATAACCGCTGGTAAAATCGCGGGACTCAGCTATCAATAATATAATTTAATGTTTCCGAAGCGAAGCTAGGGCGGGTTTGTAAATAAAAACTATACTATGTTTGTTTTAAAGAAATCGATTTAATGTTGCCTATGTATATTGTTGTTTTATTGAATCGAGAAAGTTCCTATTACAAAACATTATCCATCTTCATGTTTCCGTTTTGATGTCGTAATGTCTCTCTGTACTTGCTGATTTCAAGTGAGTCAAGCTAGAGAGATTTAAACTTATTTTGTTCGTTCGTAATTCGGTTCGCAATTAGTCATGCATCTGTTAAATTTCAACGGTGCTTATGATTGTTTTACGAGTTTTACGAGGTACTTACGTTGTTACGTTTTGTGCGTCCATCATATTGTTGACTTATCGAATGTTTTAAATTGTTTTGCTATTTATATACGGACACTGAACTTGGAACAATAATGAAATGGACCGTTTATTTTGAAAGTGGTGCAAGTCCATTTTCTTTTGTTTCGAGAAAATTAAAGGTTACTTACTATATTTGTTGATTTAAAAATATGTACAGGCAAATCATATGAGGTCTGGCATTGTTTCTATTGTTTTATCAACATTTAATTTGTTTATATAAATTTGTTTTTGGCTAATTAGACCACGATAACACATATTTATGTGCTGTAAATCGACCTACACTACTTTCAAAATAAACGGTCCAAATCTTGAGGTCTTAAAGTGTAGGTACTACCGAACCTGTCTTAACTAGACTAGACTAGACTTTAGTTTAGTTGAATATTATAACTCGTCCTTCGCTATTATATCTCGTGTTTCAACACAAAATAATTGTAAACAGTCAATGCATGAATGTTTGTGGTCATCCGAGTCTATAGAACACGACGCGAATGAGAACTCGCCGCTTTGAGGTGTTGACTCAATTGAGTAATTACTATGGGGTAATTGATTCAAAAGCATACGTTCCAATTTTTTTTATTGCTTAGATGGGTGGACGAGCTCACGGCCCACCTGATGTTAAGTGGTTACCGGAGCCCATAGACATCTGCAACGTAAATGCCGCCACCCTCGTTGAGACATGAGTTGTAAGATCTCACTTTTAACAGCAAACCAAAATTCATTACTGCTTCAGGGTAGCAATAGGCAGGGTGGTGGTACCCCCCCATGCGGTCTCACAAGACGTTCTTACCACTAGTAAAGAAAGAATACTGATTGTTTGCAGGAAAACATCGATCCTTCGCCGTACAGCCTGTCCCCGATCTCGGCTAAATCCGAGAAGCTTCTCCGGTCTCCGAGGAAGGCGACCCGCAAGATATCGCGGATCCCGTTCAAGGTTCTGGACGCGCCGGAGTTGCAGGACGACTTCTACCTGAACCTGGTCGACTGGTCCGCCCAGAACGTGCTCAGCGTCGGCCTCGGGAGCTGCGTTTACTTGTGGAGCGCCTGCACCAGTCAGGTAAGGCGTCGAAGAAACTAGTGAAGCATCATGACATCTACATCTATCTTATCTTATCTATCTATATAGTATATAAAAATGGATTGCTGTTCGTTAGTCTCGCTAAAACTCGTGAACGGCTAGACCGATTTGGTTAATTTTGGTCTTGAATGATTTGTGGAAGTCCAGAGAAGGTTTAAAAGGTAAATAAATATGAAAATGGTCGGAATTAAATAAAAATAACAATTTTGGTTTTTCTTTCATGTAACCCCCCCGTCCTTCGGATTCCTTTTGTTTGTCTTAGGTTTATTTTATAGAAAAGTTTAGGCCTTTTATTTGTCGATTGAGGAACTACGAAGTCTGCCGGGTCAGCTAGTTAATATTAAATACGTGAAGCAAAAACTTTGTACCCCTTTTTTACGAAAACTAAGTACGCGAACGGAGGAGAATGAAATTTTCCAGACTTATAAAAAATATAGACATGGAGGGTAGAATGTTAATAATTTTTTTTTAATTATGCATAAAAAATAGATTAAATCATTAAAAAAAACATTACACACACTACCTATGTATTTGCCACACATGCATACTAGGTATTTCTTTATTTTCAAACTTTTGCTTATAACCTTGTCAAATTGAGAATAGATGAAATATTGTTTGTTGTTATTTATATTTGACTAAAGTTTAGTCTTGGCGTAGTCTATGCATTGACAATATAATCATAATAGTATACAAACTTATAATTTCAATTAATTATAGTCGAATTTCGACTACCGGGGCCCACTTTTATATATTAATTAGGCGTACAAATAAACAACAAACCAATCAGAGCATTTCAAGGAAAAAAGAAACAGCTTAACGTCATTTATTTTTTTAAATTGGTTTCCATGTTAATAATGATGAGCTAATGGTCGATGTTCGTTGTGGCTCATTGACAACAACAATATCAGGGACACAGCTATTAATGTTGCGGACTATTGAATAGTCTATCGAAATGTCGTAGCTCCGGGAATATCGAGGATGGCGAGTTGATTAGAGAACTCTTGTGGATGAGGGCAGTAGTTTCGGATGGATAAACTCTGGTGCCGAACAGAGTAATGGCAAAAAGGAGATGATAAGATCATCCCTAAGAATTTCATAGAACACCTACCCGTGCGGACTCACAAGAGGTCCTACCACCAATAAAACCACCACCACCCCGCTTATTTCTGCCGTGAAGCAGTAGTGCAGTTCGGTTTGAAGGGTGGGGTAGCCGTTGTAACTATACTGAAACCTTAGAACTTATGTCTCAAGGTGGGTGGCGCATTTACGCTGTAGATGTCTATGGGCTCCAGTAACCACTTAACACCAGGTGGGTTGTGAGCTCGTCCACACATCTAAGCAAAAAAAATAATAATAATCATAGAACACTTCCTGAGAGAGCAAAGACCCCGTAGACCCAAGACACCCAAACGATCCGTGTGATAAGAATGATGATGATAAGCCGCACATCAGTCTTCTGGGTTAATTATAATATAATAAACGATTTAATTATAATATTTGTTTTCTATTTGTATAAACCATATAATACGACCTCTGTACTTCGTCTCTCTTTCTCTCCTCTAGAGAGGATAGAGATCCTCTTCTTCCCTTTCTTAATCTATCTCTATTTCTGTGTATTACGACTTATATAGGTACGTACGTATTATGAAGAGGCGACTTAGATTTCCGTAACTCCGCAGGTGACGCGGCTATGTGACCTGTCAACGGAAGGTAACGCGGTGACTTCGGTGGCGTGGAGCGAACGCGGCCACCTCGTCGCCGTCGGGACGCAGAAGGGGCACATCAGCGTGTGGGACGTCGCCGTCAACAAGGAGGTCGGTATTGTTGAACAGCTCTTCGAAGATATCATAGATAGGCAGCGGCTTGGCTCTGTCCCTGGCATTGTTGGAGTCCATGAGCGACGGTAACCACTCACCATCAGGTGATCAGGTGGGCCGTATGCTCGTCTGCCTACAAGGGCAATAAAAAAAAAACAGATGATATCGAGGGGTGATATTTGGGTTAAGTGACTTTTGTTACCGAATCATTGGTAGCCTAGGGGCCATTCCAACTTCGCGCGGATCGGTAGGTGAGCTCACGGGCTTAAACTGAGAGAATTGCTAATACTAGCCGTAGCAAGAGCAGTGCTTCGCTGAATCTACTAGCGGATCGGAATCGTGACCCACTTAGAAGATCCGGCGAAAAACTCGGTGGGATGTGTCTATGGGCTAGTTCGGTAGGACGGTGATCGGTGCTTGAAGAACCTAAAATCACCGAGAAGACATGTTTAGGGCGACGCTGGCTTTGCTTTGCCCCGTCGGTTCAAGGGACATTTCGCTTAAAATGCGCTATTATCTTTGTAATTAAAGATGCCTTTTATTTGGTATTAGCATCACCAGTTCGATGTTTTTTAATTGAACTTCAGTTAAGTCTATTCCATTTAAATAGCGGAATAAGTTTTTTTCTTATGATATTTTTTTCAAATTTTAATCTTTAAATGGCTCTCGTGTAAAGTTGCAAGAATCTCGCTTAAACCAAATAGCCTTTCGTCCCTCGATATTATTATATTGGGGCTGTTTTCCTTGTAACTTGAGAAATCACAGAAGTGATAAACCTTACGACATCAGTGTGCTTAGTGTGAGTTTTTTAACGTTCTCGATAACGTAAAAGTTAACTCAACATTCTATGCAGTGGGAACAGCGCTTCTAATGGCAAACGTAGGCAAACATTCCAACTCTATACAAGTTAGAATTAACTTTTACGTTATCGAGAACGTTAAAAAACTCTCACTAAGCACACTGGCCAGCTACCGTTAAACTGTATAAAAACTTTGAGAGCATTTGATTTTTTTATGTATATGTCGGAGAAACCACATTATTAACAACATCGTCAGACATCATAGGGGCGAATAGGATGATCGAGCTAAGAGAAATATTGAGTACACCAATCACGTTTGTTGTCTTAGAACAATTTAGAAATCTTCTCTTGACGCTAGCAAACAAAAACGAATGACAGTTCTTAGGACGGAGGCACCGCTCTTCAAAAAGGCAGGTTGTGGTAAGTGTGATGGTGTCTATGAGCCTCCATCGGCTAGGCTCTGTCGTAGCATGAAGTTAGTTGTGTTCCGACGATACCGCAATCGTGCTGCCATCTCTCGGGAATCGTGCTGCATTTCGTTTAGCTACCAAACTAATGACCGTCTCCGACATATACTTATAACTAGCCGTACTCGCCCGTTTCGCTGAGGATTTAAAATTAACATTATTATTTATTGACATTATCATTAGGGAGTCCAACACTCGTATAAATATTAGCCTAACCATTAAGTTCATGTATTTTCTACATGGATACCAAGTTTCAAGTTAATCGGATGTATAGTTCAGTAGTTATAACGACCCCACTTCGATAAAGCGGCACGACACGACAACTCTCTCATCGTGGCCGCCGGTAACTACATTCCCGATCCTGCGGACAGAATGAAAAGCAGTCGACGTTGCCCAAACACGTCATTTCGGATCCTCCCGATCCACTAACGGTGCTTTTAGGTACATCAAGCACCGGTCACCGTCCTCGTCGAACCCGTCGCTTACGACGAAGGGCTCGACGAGTAAATTAACACACAGACACAGCCCACTGAGTTTCTAGTCCTCTTGCTAGGGTTCGTGTTAGCAACGTCGTCAGGTTTGAGCCCCGTGAGCTCACCTACTAGTTAAGGCTACGCTGATATAGCCTCTCAAAGCAGCTTAGGTAGGAAAAAAAAAGTTATCACGGAACATCCGTAAAAACCACTGTAGATTTATATATTATTAAGTATAGATGATGATGTAATAATCGCGTCGTAACGTCGCGTGGCAGGTGACGAAGCTCCAAGGTCACATAGCGCGCGTGGGAGCCCTCGCCTGGAACGGTGACATACTCAGTTCAGGGTCCAGGGACCGACACATCCGCCAGCGGGACACGAGAACGCCACGTAAGTACAGCCATTTCACAGCCTCAACAGTGCTCAGTGCGAGTTATTTAACGTTCTCGAAAGCGTAAAAGTAAAAATTTAAAATTTCACGAAATACCGCTACACTTTGTATTATATACGCTTTAAAGCTCTCTCAAAGTGTGGTCGTGTTCGTTAAAGCCTTTACGTACTTATCTATGCGGACTCACAAGATGTCCTACCACCAGTAATTATACAAATTATAATTATCATAATTGAATGTAATTCGTTCCAGCGATACAACTGTCCCGAGTGCTCCAAGGTCACAGACAAGAGGTCTGCGGCCTGAAGTGGTCGCCCGATGGTCAGTCGTTGGCTTCAGGAGGCAACGACAACAAGCTCTTCGTTTGGTCGATGGTGAGTCTATCTTTTTTTTTTTAATGCATAGGTAGGTGGACGAGCTCACAGCCTACCCCGTGTTGAGTGATTACCAGAGCCCATAGACATCTACAACGTAAATGGGCCACACACACCTTGAGATATGAGTACTAAGGTCTTAGTATAGTTACAACGGCTGCCCCGCCCTTCGAACCGAAACGCATTACTGCTTCACGGCAGAATTAGGCAGGGTAGTGGTACCACCTACCCGTGCGGACTCACAAAAGGTCCTACCACCAGTAAGACCTATGTGATGTAATTTTCTAAAACTTCAAATGGCTAGTTCAACTTGAGCACACGTGTATCAACACAAGGTTAAAAGAATATATGTATAATATATATATATGTGTGTGTGTATTTGTGTGTATTAATTTGTGTTTTTTACTTGTTTAAAATTGTTTTAGAACTTGTCTTTATTGAATATGGTTTAAAATGATAGTTCGAAAAAAAAGTGCACAGCAATTCTGACTGCAATACAACTAAAGCATAATGGTCTTTAACGTAATCGCATTAACGTTTATAATGTCGTTCGACATTAGAACGGCTCATAATATGTTTAAATTAAATCGGGTCCCTTATCTCTTTTTGAGAAAAAAAAAAACCAAAGTCGTTTTCCGTCCGCGGTTATGATTGCGTAATGAGGGCAGTTGAAAAAAAAACCAAAAAAAAACCCGTTGTTTATCGTGGGAAGGTTGACTTCCGAGCCCTAACCACTACGAGTATCTTCAGTGTGCTTATTGCGTGTTTTTTAACTAAAAATTATTACTCAAATATTATAATTTCGAAGATATACATACATACGTAAATAAATAAAATTTTTGTTTGTTTCATAGTATATTTGTTTATTTACATATTTTCTTTGGTAAACTTAACGTGTATAACATATTGTTACCTAAACAGAACTACAACGTGTGATAACTATGCTCACGTGTATGATACAGTGTGATAACTATGCTCACGACCTCACTCTGGTGTACCCAGACGACAAATTGTTAATTATTATAAGCACATTAAAACTTGATTCGTTCACCTCTTATACAGGGTGCTACAAAATTACTCTTAAAGCCGAAAGGGGGTAAAGTGGGACCTTATAACGAGTCCATTCACAATATTTAAGAACCGTAGTAACGCTGTAAGACATACTACAAAATAAATATTATTATTTTCACTGACGTGCAAACCCTATTTTAGTACAATTAAAGAGTAAACTACGCAGAATGTACCTGTACATTTTTACCTAATTCGCGGAATGACAAAAATGTTGATAAGTGCGACAAGTACTTGAGTATAATGACATCCTTGTATTGAGGTAGCAAACATTTATGAATGAAAAATAGAAAAACTATTAAAGTAGACCATTATTAGGTAAAATAGGTACGTAGGCCTTTCTGTTAAATAATCTGGTTCCCTGACATGCCTGCTTACTAGGGTTGACAAAAAAAAAATAGGCCTTTCTGTTAAATAATCTGGTTCGCTTACTAGGGTTGACCAAAAATTTTTGGCTTTGATAATTACTTATATTTTTACGGGGTATTTTGTAACACTTTGTATATGTGTGTAGAAAAAGAAATGAAAAAATAATAGTTTAAAAAAACTAACAAAATACGCTTTTATAGAAAATCAAACAAAAAATATAGAAAATAAATTTTAATAAATTTGAATTAAAAATAGTGCAAGAAAAAATAATTTTATTGTAAAAAAGCGTGAGGTGTTTTTCAGGATATTATCAAAATAACATTTCTACTCATATCTGTTCATAAAATATTTATAATAACTGATACCATGCACCCCACGCTTTTTTACAATAAAATGTTTTTTTCTTACACACAGTTTTTTTAATTATTATTTATTTTTTATTTTATAGTTGAATTAAATTTTTTTATTCTTAAATATTGAATTGTCATCGGTCTTTAGTAAGTATACCAAATTTCGAGTTAATCCGACGTTTTGAAGGGGGTCAAAATCATGTTCAAAGATTCCGTTACATACTAACATACATTACATACGTCTGAATCTAATAAAAGCGTATTAAAAAAAATCGTAATCTTATATATGTTGTTGTTCCTTCGTCCTCCAGCACTCGACGTCGCCGGTGCAGACGTACTCCGCGCACGTGGCGGCCGTGAAGGCGATCGCGTGGTCGCCGCACCAGCACGGGCTGCTCGCGTCCGGCGGCGGCACGGCGGACCGCTGCATACGCTTCTGGAACACGCTCACCTCGCAGCCGATGCAGTGCGTCGACACCGGTACGACAACACCGATACTCGGGACTGAGCTTGCACCCTCGAAGGGGGAGGGGTAGAGGGAGTGTGGGAGGGGAGGGGGAATGGGGGAGGGGGGGATACAATGGGTACTTCCACTTCAGTTGTGTCATACAACTTGTGGATGCATTATGCTGACTCCACGTTTTTTTACTCCAATTCTCTCAAAATCAACACCAGCTACGATGGCTATAAGATAAATTCTCGTTTCAAGCAGTATTCATCCATATCAAATTTGAAATAAATACGAAAGTAATTGTGATTAGATGTGTAAACAAGATCACAGCTCACCTGGTCTTAAGTGGTTACCGCAACTAACATCAGATAGGCCGTGAGCTCGTCCACCAACCTAAGCAATAGAAAAATTCAAAATAAACCCGTCCGCGAAAAGCTGGAATAAGTAGGAAAAAAAATGATTCGTCTGTGCAATTAAAAAACTAGGCTTCCCTGGAATCATGAACAGAAATCAAAATATGATGATGATCATTTTATTGTTTTGGTTCTGGAAAATTCCTTTGACAGAATAAATTATAACAAAGTCAACTAGGTTTAATTATTGTATTTCTTGAACAGGATCTCAAGTGTGCAACTTGGCTTGGTCGAAACACTCCAGCGAATTGGTCTCGACTCACGGCTACTCACAGAACCAGATACTGGTGTGGAAATATCCGTCGTTGACGCAGGTGAGGAATGTTCTTGAATATTCATTCGTTCAGCAGGGCGTTAATCTCATATATGGAGGGTAGAGGTAAGGAGAAGCGTCTCTGTGTGTGAAAAAGTGTCCGTTAAAATCTGCTAAATAAAGGTGGCGCTGCAGTAGCAACCGGGTAAATTTAAAATAGGTGCTGAATGTTATTAGATTAAGATTGAGAAATAAAAAGGACGAAAGAGCTATAAGCACTACAAAATCACAAAAAGTATTTTATTTAAAGCTGATAAGAAAATACAATCTATGTCCCCACGTTTTAGCACAGCAATAATTTTAGGTTTTATTGACGAAATTAGTTTGGACCACGTAAACATGTGAGGTCTTGTATACTGTCACTAACTACTCTTGTCATTAAATATATTAAATTTCCTAACTCAGCATACTTTAATCAGTTAACAACTGCTCAATTCTTATCATACCCTGTGCCCATGCTAGCGCCATTCTGGAGGATTTTGAACTGTTATTTAGTGCTGAAAGTGGAACACTTTTTCAAGCTTCTTCCATATGAGACGGTTCTGCTTACCTCTACCCTCCATAACCTCATATTAGACCAGTGGTTTATTTAATTCTTTCGTTGGATCTGCAAAGGGAACGTAGCATATAGAGACAAATCTTTGGTAATAAACCTCTTTAAACGAATCCAAGATGATCAGTAATTTTGTTTTATTAATCCACAGTTGTGCGCTTTCACAGCCATTAAATGGCTAAGAACCGACCATTGTAACATATTATTAACACATTTATGTAGAACAATTCCCACAGCTTGCTTTTTCACCAAAAATGACCAACCTCCAGATTATATTATCACATATAGTATCGTTATAGTATTTTTGTCTGCGCCCTATACGCCGTTGGCTGAACTAATAGGCATGTGATAATGACTACTGTTTCACCGAGATTCTAATCTTGTATTAAATTTCTCATAAAATACAAGATATGTGGGTGTAATTGTTTTTTTTTGTTTTTTTTTTTCTAACAGGTTGCGAAACTGACCGGCCATTCCTATCGAGTTCTGTATTTGGCTCTATCACCGGACGGCGAGGCCATCGTCACGGGAGCCGGTGACGAAACGCTTCGGTTCTGGAATGTTTTCTCCAAAACGCCCTCACACAAGGAAAACAAGAGCGTCCTAAATCTATACACCGCACTCAGATAAACGAAATTCGAACCTATATTAGTTTGGTTTAAAGACGTTTTCGCTATGACGAAACGTGGTCTCGATTTCTATATTATTATTATGTATATAATAGAGGTTATTTATTGCGTTGCCATGGCAACAGAATTTTCGAGGGTTTTGTCGCGTTCTCAAGACGTAAAGATGAAAAACAAAATAAGGCGAATGAATTTTGTCAATGAGCGAAATAAAACTCTTTATATTTGTAATAGTTTTTACTAGAGGAATATTATGTTCATATTTGTAATTTATATTTTACGTCCGAGTGGCGTTCTTTAGTGAGGCGTGGTTACGGTAATTTGTCTGGCTCGTTTTTGTACATAGATTAGAACACGCATGGGATTTTAACGCTTAAAATTCTCGTGATAAGTTCCTAAATTGTGTGCTCAAAAATGTTGGTCACTTTGAAGATATGTATCGAAGGGACGTTACGTTTTTTTTCATTTACGACAAAAGGCACAGATGAGATTATTCCATGAAAAATACCTAAAAAGGCTGCTAACAAATGTAAAGTCAGTCAAATTACCTAACGCTCGCGTAATAAATAAATAAATATCATTGATTTTGTAAAATGTACACTAGTTTGTGTATCCACGTATACATTTTGTGTTATCGTATTTATAAAATTGATATGTATTTTACTGTATGTTAGGAGTTTAACTACAGGTTCCTTTTCACTTTATCTATGTTAATAATAGAGTCAACTGTTCGGTTATTGAGAACTCTGTCGTCAATACTGATTTAAAATTTATAGATTTCATTTTTTTTTTGTACTGGTAACATCTTGGTATTGATAAAATCTAGACCGTAATTTTTAAACCTATTCTCAATTGATCCGAATTTGAAAAAGCAAAGTCCAGGAAAGAAAATGATGGATTTCAGAAAATAAAAAAGTTTTAGAAGAAGAATTTTTATGTTGCTTTGTAAACACGAAACAAGGGCACAAAATTAAATTGACTTATGAATTACGTTCAATATATCCGATTTACACTCATCATTATGATTATTTTAATAGCAAACGATTGTGACAGAAATCGGGGGCTAATTTGAGTGTAGGTTACCGAGTAAAAAATATATAACTTAAATATGAAATAGCACAGAACGCCGCAGTGCTTTCTAAGCACACGGAGCTTAGACGGTGTAAAATATAGGCATACTAATATATACATAATAAGATATAAAGTAAATCATCAATATTGATGCTATGACTTTAATTTTGAGGTACAGTTAAACTCCTTACATATAAATTTATAATATTGGTTTACTATAAACTCGACAACTGAAAAAATGCATTATGGTTTAAAACTTTCGTTGGGACGAAAAATGTATTTTAATTGCTTAATTAATCAAACTAATACACAGAGTATAAATGCAAAGGTGTTGCCACAATCATAAACTTATATAGAAACACTGCAATATTAATGTTTAAATAATCTTTCGTTCGAAATTAAGATGTTATTAATTTATTTAATTTGTTTCAACACAGTCCTTGAGTTTATAGTGGACCGTATTGTGTTTATATTTATATTTTGATCTATATTCGATTCTGTATTTATTGCGACAAAAAAATATAGTTTTTTTGTAGTAATCTCGATTTTGACTATAATGTTTTTGACTAATCATTAATATAACGTTTTTTTTTCTGTTTCAGAAATATTTAATCTAGTTTTTTTTTATCGTTGAGAAAGTGATAGTCCGGAGATTGGAGTTTACATGGGTCTTTTTCGTATTCGCTAAAAAAAAAAACAGATGTATTATCTATCATCAGCTATGATTCTTGGAATTAATTTCAAATGAAAAGACACAGCCAAAGCTATCGATTTTTGTTACTTCATGTTGCTTGAATGTCCTTCAGACCGATCTAACTGAACGCAGAACAAAAATAAAAACAAAATCTTTGTCAATTTCAAAACGGTTCAGTGAAGTCTGGTCTACAAGGAATATACGTACATAGCCAGTATACATTGATCTGATTGCTAATTTCCCAATGTCTTACTGTCACTTTCTCAAAGATTACAAAAGCTATAATAGAAATGGGTGAAATTAAATTTTCCAAAAAAAGAAATGGGCGATAATTTACTCTTTTATTCACCAGGAGATGGGTTTATGTAAATCATTAGTGTTCCAACGGACCAGACGGAAGAATCAAGTTCTTTTCAGGTTTGTATATAAATATATTTAGGTTAATATACTTTTTTTTGTTTGTTTTTCAAATGTCTTCAAAATTTTCAATGCAGTTCGCTCTTTGTGTTTGTTTATCGACGAATTTATTTTTATTTCTAACATTACTTATTTTTAATAAATTTTGAAATCCACTTAAATTGAATTATACCTTGAACGGCTGCATTTGATAATTCGGAGGTTTTTTTTTTTCCTAGGAAATCCTAATAATAAAACGCATTTAGTACTGTGTATAAGGGAAGTGCTAAATATATATTAACTTAGTCCTTTTAATTTGTAATTAATAATTAATTTGTAATGGAGGTGCCTCGATTGATCTCACTTATAGACAAAAAATGGTCTTATGGCAACATTAAACTAATTTTGTTCGTTATTTATTTTTATTAACTTTTTTTTTTTCGAAATTTAAATTTTTAATTTAAGAATTTTAGTGTAGACTCGTGTTGTGACTAGTTTTGGTTTCTTTTTTTTTTTTTTAATTAACAATCGACCAATGGATTTATGAAACTTATTCACTTCATGAGTAGTCGTAAGGTTACAAGAGGCACCTTTAAAAAATATAATAATAATAATAATATAAATTAATTGCTTGGCTGTAATGTATAAAATCCGTTAAAAATGTAGATTGTAATATATCGGATTTGTGCAATGTAGTTTAAATTTTATTAAAACAAAAAAAAAAGTCCGATCGCGCTTCGTTCGCGCCTTCATTCCTAACGTGCCACGAAGGCGATAACGATCTCGATCGCTATAAGTTAATAAGGCCGACTTAAATTTGTAATTTTCGATTAACAAATTAATTAAAAAAAATATATGTAATTTCGTACCAAATTAACTAAACTAAAAAAAAAATCGTGTTTTATTCGTTTGTAATGTGTTTGACACTAAAATTTTTTTCTCGCATTTAGACATTGTGTTAAATTATTAATTTAAAAGCTTCATTCACATTTCATAGTTTATAGGAATCATGTATAAAAATACGTTTGCTTATAAAAGAGAAAACAATTATTAGTTCTATCTATGATTTGTGAGTTTAGCTTTTAAAAAACATGTTGAAATCAATTTAAAAAGGTCCAAACGTAATATGATCCTACCGATTTATCCCAAAACTTTGAATTAATAAAACAAAACTATTTTAATTTATAATTGAGTACATAAAAATATATTCCTTTTCAATAAAATTCTATTCTGTTTCTTTCTATCAGCTTTATTTGTAACTTTTTTCTTTACTTTTTTTTTCTTTTCGTTCCGAACGTAGGGTCCTTTAAGTACCTATTTCGTTAAAGAGAATTATTTATATAAAACGTATAGAGAATATAATATATTAAAACATGTTTTATATTAGACTGATATAATTTACACATTTGTATTTTAAGTGTTTATTTGTAAAACTGTATTTTAGGAATAAAGTGTTTTGTGTGATCTGAATTTTGTGTTTTTTTAAACGATACCTGATAGAATAACTTAATTCTTTTTTTTTTATTTGATTTAACCGTATTTAGGGCAAAGGAATTTCGCGCACCTTTTTCAAGGCATAGTCTCCTGGAAGGAATTAGAAGAGGGGGAGGTCCTCGCTCTTTCTGTTCTCCCTCTTCTTATCTGGAGGCCTGGAGTCTGACATAACCTGTTCTGTTACTTCCGTCAACTAGGTATCCATAAACGGATTCACTAGCGTTAAAGCTTTGACATGAAAAGTTGTGCGCGTATCAAGGACTTAAAAGTAGCATAATTAAGGCATAATATCTTAACCAAGTATCTTTTGCGTAAATACTAGCGGTAGGTTGTCTTGTGAGTCCATCCGGGTAGGTACCACCACTCTGCCTATTTCTAGTTGTACTGTAAAAACTGAGACCTTAGTCCTCACGTTGCAAGGGGGTGGTGGCATTTACGTTTTAGATATCTATGGACTCCGGAAACCACTTACCACTTAGCTCTTTCACCCATATATGAAAAAAAAAACATTTTAATTTTGTTCGAGTTACAGTTGAAATTGATTTTCTTATCTTTATTTGTATACGCGATGTTTTAAAATTTTTTGTTCGTTTAGTTCGTCGCAGCCACAAATCTGGCCCTACCTGACGCGTTCTGGATAAACTTTTCGGTTTTATCGTCAAATAATTTGAGAAATCCTAAAATTCACCTCGATCATAATCGGAGGGTGTCCTCTGTATTCTCAAAAAAGGCGTAGTTTCCAACGTCGGTGCGTTACCTATATTATTGCATGATACAGCAGATGTTAGCAGTCTCCCAGGCTGAGCCCCGTGAGGTCGCCAGCACGTCCGGTGAAGCCAGTACAACCCTTGAGGTTACTAATAGTAGGCAGGAAAAAATAATTACATGATACATTATAAGTGTTGGAAACGATTTTTGAACAATATGGATTTGAAGTCATTGTGGCTGCAAGGATAAGACGCCGGTCATAGTTCTCGTGGAATCCGTAGCTTGCGACGAAGGGCTCGGCGAGTAAATTAACCCACAGACAGAGCCCACCGAGTTTCTCGCCGGATCTTCTCAGTTTGTAGCGTTTCCGATCCAGTGGTAGATTCTGCGAGGCACGGCTCTTGCTAGAGTACGTGTTAACAACAACATCAGGTTTGAGCCCTGTGAATTCACCTACTAGCTCGGTGAATCTAGAATAACCCCTTGAGGTTACTAGAATAGGTAGGAAAATAAAAGATAAGACGCTCGGTGCAATCGTATTGAACGATGCGACTGTGCCGGTGTTGAAATCTCGCAGGAAGGTATCAAAGGCGTAGCCGTGTCCTTATCGCACAAATCGGGAACGGCTTGTTGCTGTAGAGGATCTTGGTTGCAAATCTCCTAACTTACGATTTTTTAAATAATAAATCATTATGTTTTTATGTATTATTGTGTTATGTATTATTTTTACTGGTGGTAGGACCTCTTGTGAGTCCGCGCGGATAGGTACCACCGCCCTGCTTGTTTCTGCCGTGAAGCAGTAATGCGTTTCGGTTTGAAGGGTGGGGTAGCCGTTGTAACTATACTGAGACTTTAGAACTTGTATCTCAAGGTGGGTGGCGCGTCTACGTTGTAGATGTCTATGGGCTCCAGTAACCACTTAACATCAGGTGGGCNACCGCCCTGCTTGTTTCTGCCGTGAAGCAGTAATGCGTTTCGGTTTGAAGGGTGGGGTAGCCGTTGTAACTATACTGAGACTTTAGAACTTGTATCTCAAGGTGGGTGGCGCGTCTACGTTGTAGATGTCTATGGGCTCCAGTAACCACTTAACATCAGGTGGGCTGTGAGCTCGTCCACCCATCTAAGCAATAAAAAAGAAAAAAAATGTTAATTTTAAATTCGCTTCTTTCTGTTCTTTGTTTTCATTTTATGACATAAATAACGAATTCTTATTCAATTAATTTATTTTATTGTCTGATATTTTGTTATAATCAATTAATATATTTACTGACTGCACTTAATGTAAATAATTTTGAATAATATTTCCACGCCGACTTGGTAGAAACACGCTGTTCTATAAAATAACTATCAACAACTTTGTAAGCCGTGTTTTCTATACTAATAGTTGTTTGTATTGAATAGGCTCCGAAACTACAGAACCGATTTGAAAAATTCTTTCACTGTTTGGAAGCTACACTATTTCCGAGTGACATAGACTATAATCTTTTTTGAAAAATATTAGGGATCCATACTAAAACTCTAATAATGTAACCCAAGGTGTAAAAAAATTACCTAAAATATTCTTTACATCGCGTGCCCTGCGAAAACTATTCATAATAGAATAAAATAATGTACTACGACTTTGTAGAACACATTATTATTTACAAAAAGTGTCGCGACAGCATATTATAGTTATGCCGCAATAAGTGTTCTTTTATTTAAAAAAATAAAACAACGTAAAATATCGTTGAAATTTTTGTTAAAGACCCGAGCGGAGCCGGAGCGGGTCGCTAGTAGCTGATAAAGTTTGATTTGATTTACCCAAGGTAGTTCGAGACATCCTTTTAGTCAGTTCAACTCCGACGTGCGACGCTGACCATCCCTAGCAAGGCGTAGGGAGAATTCCGGTAATTTCCTCCTAACCCAGCAGAAATATCCAACCACCGCAACAATGTCGACTACGTGGTCTACAGCCATAAAGCTAGTGTTTCTAACAATGTCCCGGAAGTTAATTCTTTATGTCTATCTAAAATTGAAAAGCAGTTGAAGTAAAAATCTAATAATCATCGAAAAATATTTTTATACATTCTCTTTAAATAGGCCCTAATAGAACATGAATGTAACATATCTATTAATAGAAAAATAAATAATAGTTTAAAACACGCTTTATATAAAATTCAACTAAAACATAGAATATAAATTTTAATAAATTTAAATTGAAAATATTGTAAAAAAAAATTATTTGTAAAAAAAGCGTGGGGTGGATGGTGTTATTAGTTATAAATATTTTTCTGACAGATACGAGTAGAATAATTATTAATTCAATAATATCTTAAAAAGCACCACCCCCCCCCCCATTTATTTTTCATTTATTAGTTAAATTTTCTATAAAAGCGTATTTTTTAACTATTAAGTAATTTAACATCAATTCCTGCCTTATCGACTATAGATAAAAATTATATATTATAAATTGGTAAAAATCTTATTTTGCAAATTGAATAATGGAATAATCTTATCAAACTAGTTTATTGTCATCGGTCCTCGATAAATCTACAAAGTTTGAATGAAATCTAGCCGTTTAAAGTGGGTCAAAATCGCGCCTAAAGGAGTCAGTTACAAACATACAAACATACATACAAGTGAAGCTAATATAAAGCGTGTAAAAATAAGTACGTTTTTGCTGTGTTCTTGGACCTGATGATAGAGTTCTATTTGAAATTTAATAACTTTTGTTAAAGATGTATTACTACTTTTAAGGTTTAGTCTGTCGTTTTTTTATTGACATTACATTATTTTGACGTATCGAATACTATATATACAGTTTCACTAAACACGGACGGACAACTATGTAAACATGTAAATACTTACACCGAAATTGTACTACGGTCTCTGCTCTTTAAGTCCGGGGATATGTAATTATAATAGTATCTATTTATTTGCACCTTGCATTGACATCACAATGAATGGTCCAAGGTCCAAAGGGGCCAAGGACGCGAACATAATATTCTATTGTTTAATACGTAGAAGGTAATGTTACACCGCTTTTGTCAATACACAATTGATAATTGGGACACAACGGGAGAGGCCTTGATGTCAATCAAACTGTATTACAATTTTTCCCCAATTATTATTTAGGTAGTTAAATGTCGCCACCCACTTTGGAATATAAAGTCAAAGTTACAATAGTATTTTTAGAATCTCGACCTTCAAACGGAATACATGATTGCTACCTAATATTTATTAAACTGGTGGTAGGACCTCTTGTGAGTCCGCACGGGTAGGTACCACCACCTCGCCTATTTCTGCCGTGAAGTAGTGATGCGTTTTGGTTTGAAGGGTGGGGCAGCCGTTGTAACTATACTGAGACCTTTGAACTTATATCTCAAGGTGGGTGGCGCATTTACGTTGTAGATGTCTATGGGCTCCAGTAACCACTTAACAACAGGTGGGCTGTGAGCTTGTCCACCCATCTAAGCAATAAAAAAGTATCAGTGGGGGCTCACAATCCGTTCTACCATTATTGTCATGATTATTTTCGTTGCTCTGGTGCCCACTGCCGATCATAGGACTTTCCTTTTTTATGTCATAACTAGCTGACCCGGCGAACTTTGTTCCGCCTTAGAGGCAATAAATAAGCAGACTTTTGATTTTATCGAGGTCAATTTTTTATTTGGATAATTGATGTAAATTAAAAAAAGCAAGCGTTTTAATGTTTCTTTATTTGCCATGTATTTTTGTTGTTATTATTATCTTCAGTCCGTTCACTCGCAATGTTTCGAATCCTAGTTGCATTACGGTTTCGTCGGGAAAGATTTGATCGTGTTTGTCGCGGCATGGCTTTCTTAATGATTACCTATCTCGGCACAATAAGCTAATCAAAACTCGAAATAAACACATCAACCGTCAACTTAAAATTTCTACTTTAATTAACCATAAACTACATTACGTTTAGCTGTCAGTTGCGTTTTGTTATTCCATATCTGTTGCGTTTTGTTATACCACATTTTATGTCACATCCCACAGAAACGTGATAAAAAGTATCCTATGTCCTTCTCCTGATCCTAAGTTACCTCCCCACCAATTTTCAGCCAAATCAGTTCAGCCGTTCTTGAGTTATAAATAGTGTAACTAACACGACTTTCTTTTATATAGATGTTAGATCGCCATTCTCGTCCGCGTCTGCCACGTCGTCCCTGCTATGTCATCGGTCCACCGTACCATAGGTCCTCCAGCACCTCAATAACCAAATTACCGCTACCGTCCGTCATCGTCTTACA